CACATTTGCTACGACTCCGAAGATTTTCCCTGGGCGCATGAATCAGTTTAATAATGATTGCTGCCAGTTGGTGGCTAGACATCAGATTGCCAGCCTACTCAACAATGCTGCCATCTGCTATTTGGATTCACAGTGTGCTGCTCCTACATACCACCTCATTAAGAACGGGACCCTTACGAGCCATAGACAGTGGTTTATTCAAGTGAGCTGAAGCAAGCTCCTCCCCAAGCTGCGTAGTAGAGGCTGCAGGCATCTCATTTTATTTGGAAATTGCTCTATGCTGATCATGCAGCCTGAGAGTTCACTGTCTTTGATCATTTAGGTGTTAGTCTGTCAAGCCAGCTCCTTGTTTCAAAGTAGTGTTAAAATACAAAAAATGATTATTTCAAAGATTTGTTGAAAATATTTTTTCCTTTTCTTTTTTTTGGTAATACAGTCACATCTTGAAATGATACTAGTTAGTGGTTTGCCAAATATAAATATTTTAATAAGTGTATTATAACCCATTAGACTTTTCTGAATATTTTACAGTTCTGACGATTTTTTAGTTTTGTGGAAATCCAACTGCCTAGTTTTTATTTATTGGAAACTGATTTTCAAAAGGTTTTCCTTGTGCTTTTTCTTTTTTCACTAAATATCCAAAGGCAGCTGTGAATGCAAAATATTCGCATTTGTCATACAGAAATAATTGCATTTTATCCAATACCACTGATCACCTTAGAGATTTAAATATTTTTACAGGAAAAAGAAAATTTGCATAGGTCATATAATATTTAGATCCTCTCTATCTGTCTCAATGGATAATAGATTCTGTAGCACATTAAGAATTATATTAAAGTGCTATAGTTATATTTCAAAATTGGGCTGCTTTAATATTCCAGAGAAATTCACAGGCCGGTATTCGTCTCGGGCATCCTTTCCTCACTCCCCCACAAATACTTACCCAGTTCTCACATCAGTACTTACCAGAATCCAAAATGTGCTTCTTAAATCCTATGTTTGTTAGGTACTCTGTGAAGAAAGGATTTGGTGGACAAACAGAATTGGGAAATGGGACACTGCAGACTGGGTTCTCCAAGATTCAGACTCTGAAATGTAGTTTAACTTGCAAGGTATTTATTAAAAAGAGCTTTTGGGACCAACACTTGTAGAAAAGAGGGGAAGCAGCAAGATTGGGTCAAGGGAGAAGCTGAGTTGCAATGCAGGTCCAAAAGTGGCCTTGGCCGAAACCATGGGGTGCTCTGGAGTTGCAGTAACCTTCGCGGTTGCCCTTAGGTGGGCAAGAGGACAACTTTGTAACCTTGCACTGACAGGTCACTGGATATGCGTAATCCCGTGAAGGAGTGTGACCTTAGGTGAGGTAGTTCTGTGCAGCTGAGGCAATTCCCAAAGAGGGCTGATAGCTGCAGGCTGCCTGCTGACAGTACTCCCACCCAGCAAGACAGGAGCAAGTCCTTCCTTGAAGGTGTATCTGGGCCATACATCACAATGCTGCCACATATGCCAGATCAAATCAAAGCTTTTGGAGAGTGGCACTAAATATTCACATATGAAAGACTTGCAGAATCTGGTACTGAAGAAAACTTCCGACTTTCTTTTCTAACATCAATTCATATCCTGTGGAACTAGTGTTCCATAGAACATAATTTAATAGATATCTCCCCAATCTTACAGTTCTTTGCAGTCCATGTTAAAATAACTGAATACGACGGTTTGCTCCACGCTCTCCTGCCCAGGAGTTCTGCTTGAAAACTTTGGTGTTGCTATATTAGCTATGGGCTTACAAGTCACATGTTCAGGTGTGTGGGAAGATGGCTTTATTTTTCCATAACTGAACGTAATTTATTTCTTAAGTTCTTATTCTGCCTGGTGACACACACACACACACACACACTCTCTCTCTCTCTCTCTCTCTTTTAGTCATTTTCTAGATATACATATTATCTTTTAAAATGATTTAATACAACAACTCTTCCACTCAGGATTGCAGCTAAGCTCTAAGAGACATAACTCATGTCATGGCCTTGGGGGACACATCTGATTCTTGATTGGCAGCTGTCTTCAGCTGGCATCAGCTGAGATTAACACCGCCTTTTTCTGGTCTTTACTGGTATCACCACCCTTCATGCTTACAGCTGATGAGATATCTACATTTCCATCCAACACTTCTTCAGAGTTCACACTGCATCTTAGGCCAAGAAGGTCTGTTGGCTCTTGGGGTCATTTCTCAAATGTTTTCAATCACACCAGAAGAACATTCACTCGATCCTGTGGCCCTGTAACGTCTGTGATCCATTGCCTAGTTACTCAGTGCAGATATTTCTACTCTATTCAATTTCTAATGCCACAGCGTTAAAATAACACTATGGAACCTTTTCAAGATAACCAGACAGAAGTTAGGGCATGAGTCTCTCCATTCTTAGATCACATACTTTTTTTTTTTTCCTGGAGGTTCTTTCATGCTCTAATTTAGAATATTGAATTTCTCTTCAGAAATCCTCACTAGAAGTTAACTCTTTTGCTTTCTCTCCTACTGTGATTTTTCTTCTTCTCACTTAATGTTGAGATTTTTTTTTTTTCCTTCCTTTGAGTGAGTTTGGAGAGGGTAAGTCATGGAAGCACTTAGCTAGACAAGTATCCCTCCAACCCTAAATTTTATGCCATGAAAAATGTCTTTGGAAACTCAGAAGCCAGTAACTTGGTTTTTTTGCATGTTTCTTTTGATGAATTGTCTATGGGCTCTCTTCCTCAAGGCATGAAGCTTACAGTCTAGTTTTGAGTGGGGGTATGAGCTTTGGTAAGAGGTAGATACTGAGGTAGAAACAAAGCATTTGCCTCTATGGAAAAATACGGTTTTACTCTTCTATTCTATTCCATTAGTCTATTAATCTACCTTTGTGCAGGCGCTATTTTCTTAATTTTTGTAGCTTTATGGTAGGTCTTGATATCTGGTATTATAAGCCTTCTAGCTCGTTCATTTAAAAGACTATTGACTATTCTTTGTCCTTTCTATTTCCATATACATATTAGATTAAATTTCCTCAAAAAAAAAAAAACCAAAAAACCGTTAGGATTTTGATTAGTATTACATTGATTCTAGATAAATTCAGAGCAAATTAAAAATTTTGATCTTTAAAATATTGAGATTTCCTTCCATTAACAGTTTACACTTCCAATTATTTAAATCTTTAATTTCTTTTCAAAGTATTTGTTTTCCATATAGAAAAATTGTAAATATTACAATTAGTTTATTTCTAAGTATTCAATATTTTTATTATTTTAAATTAAAAAAATTAATTTATCCGACTGATCCAGTAAAAGAATGTGTAATTCAATTGATTTTGATAGTAGCCTTGTATCATGTGATATTTTGATCTTCCTAAATTCAAATAGTCATTCTAATAGTTTATTTATAGATTATTTCAGATTTTCTATATGCACAATCACGCAGTAACAATTTTATTTCTTCCTTTCCAATAAATGTTCCCACTTTTTCTCCCTTTCTCTCCCTTCACTGTCCTGGCTAGGACATCCAGTGCAGTACTAAATAGAGGTGATGAGACTGAAGATCCTTTTCTTAATCCTAATATTAACGGAAGATTCCGTGTCTTACCATTAAGTGTTATGTTAGTTGCATGTTTTTGGTAGATACCCTTATAAGGTTAGGAAGTTCTCTTCTATTTCTAGTTTGCTGGTAATTTATAATGTTAATGAATATTGATGTGTCAATTGCTTCTTCTGCATCTATTGATATTATCATATGGTTTTTCTCATTTATTCTATTATATAATAAATTACTTTAATTAATTTTCAAATATTAAACCAACATTATGGTATATTAACCTTTTTATATATTGCAGATTCTATTTAATAATACTTTACCTAATATTTTAGCATCTATGTTTGTGAGATTTATTGGCTTCTCAGTAGGGAAGAGTTAAGTAGCTAGCCTCCAATTAATTTCTCTTTTGGAGACATCTTGGCAGATGATTCTAGGAAAGAAAAAAGGTGGGTAACCCAGGCTAATCTCCCTGTAAACATGTTGAAAACAGACTTTATGTGAATAAAGTAATATTAATTATTAGGAGGTAAGTCTTTATCTTCGTAGTGCTTTTAGCGGAATATCCCTAATTCAAGGTCGACTATGATAAACAAATCCAGAATCTATGAACTTATGGGGCATAGCTCCCAGGAAAATGTCATGTAAGTGAAACAATTGCCTGGGTATACGAGAGAGGGGTCATGACCTAAAATGCTCCTCCATGGTGTGTGAAGTAATCTCACTTAGAGAACACATCTTTCCAGCTTAGCCTAATTGCTCATCCAGTGCAAGAAGGAAGAACTCGGGAAGCCACAGACACCACTCAGGATTTCTTTCTGCTTTGCCTGTCTTCTTGACTGCTTGTATTCTTGAGATTATTAGTAGAACTTTGTAATGGATAAAATCCTGTTCCTGTGAGTCTTTGAGTCAGACAATCCTATCTTTTATGTTGGCTCCATCTATAATTTTCCTTTATTATAATGTCCTGGTCAAGTTTTGATATCAAAGTTATACTTGTCTTATAAAACAAGTTGGAAAGTATTCGTGTTTTCCTGTTCAGCAGAAAAACTGTGTAAGCTTGGTACTTTTTTCTTCTTAAATGTTTGGAAGAATTTACCAATGCAGTCATATGGGCCTACATAGTACTTTATGGAAAGCTATGGACTTCCCCATACGGTGAAAGATGCCACAAAGGTCCCTCCTCAACATGGCAATAGGTAGGCGCCCCCTCAAGAGAACCCTCCATCTTCTTTCCTGGCTGTGGGTGGTTGACTAGATCTAAATCCAGCATAACCTCAGTTGAGAAGTGCTGGGCCTGACAAAGGAAGAAAAAGATTATACATTAAAGGAGCTGCAAGAAATAGCATGTACCACCAGGAGCCAGGGGAGTGTTTCTGGGACTGGATTTTGAGGGTGCTTTATCTAGGGGACCAGAATATAAGACTTAAAAAACAAGAACTTATTTATTTAGGAGTATTTTATTTGGACACAGGATTTATCATCTTAGCAAGAGCCTTGGAAGATGAGACAAATTTACTGATAGGGTATGAACCTGATATAGTTTTAGCCAACACTGAGTGAAGTGGAAACGCCCAGGTTGTCCTGGTAACGGTATGAGAAGCAATGAGGAGGCTGAGAGAAGTGGTCATACTGGACTGGATATTTTATGAGGCTGTAAAACCCACTACATGATTTTGTTCCAAAGAAGGGCCCAGAAGACACATGATTCACTAAGGCACCAAGAACGTGCCTGTGAGAAGGCATGAACATCATAGGTTCAGTGGTCGCTCTCTTCCTTTGATCAGGTGGATGAGGTGCTCACAGAGCTGGGCCTGTTAACATCATTCAGAGGTGATGGGCCCTCTGGTGTTTAACTACCGAAAGCCAAGAGGCCATAATTGTTGTAACAACTGGTAAAGTTGGAGGGGCAGTAAAGGAGGTTTGACCCTCAGGGTGCTCGGGAGTGACTGATTGACACATCATTCCTACAGCCAAAATAGATAGGTAACAAAAAGGCTGCTTAACATCTATACCCAGTAAGGCAAAAACTGGAAAAGGAAGAGGCTGAAGGTCTTGGTCTGAGTGAAGTGTTATAATACCTTGTTCAGTTTCCAGACCTGAGGCAATTTTCAGATATGGAACCCACAGATGGGAAGAGGTGGCTAGGTCTTTTTTGGAGGAAGGGCCCTGCTATAAGTGGTAGGCGTGTACTGTGATGAATCACCAAATTCTTCTCTAAATGCATGCGTGGCCAAATACTAGGGTGACGGTACACGAGAAAGGGGAATATCCAGACATTTCAAGGACTACTGACAATAGAGTCTGAGTTGACACCGATATCTGGAAACCCAAAGTGGCACGCCTTTAAAGTGGGGACTAACTGTGACCAGGCCCTGTGGTGCTGGCTAAAGTCTGGCCCACAATAGACACATTGAGTGGACCCACGATTGGTCATGTCTGCAGTGCCTCAGTGTATAACTGGAAATGACTGTAACATACACATTAAAGCCTTTGGCCCCTGGGGCAAGAGCTATCACAGTGGGGAAAGCCAAATGGAAATCTCTGAAACCCCTTCTTATCTCAGCCAAGGTAGGAAGTCACAAACATTTGGCTGGGATGTGGGGAGGCCGAGCTTACTGGCAGTCCTCATCATTTCTCCATTAACTTTGCCAGCCTGGGCTTTGAAGAAACTGGATAGAATGACTGTAGACTAGTGCAGGTGTAACCTGCTATTAGTCCTGATTGCAAATGCTGTGCAGATGTGGTATCGTTTATTACTGAAGATTAAGAAGGGCTCACTCACATACATAGTATGTAGCCAGTGATCCAGTGAATATGTTCTTTTTAGTCCCAATCAGGAAAGAGGATCAGACACAGTTGGCTACATTATAGCTATGTCCAGGAGTGGCCGTGAAGGACAGTGGAAAGGGCAAATATTTCTAATAAGCAGAGCTATGAATGGTATACCTAGTTATCTACACTGTGTGGAGGAGAACTGGTTCTAGGTGGGGATACGTATAGCTTTCTGGTTAATGGTTTATGGCTCGGCTATTTGTTCAGGTGCCTGAATGGAAAAGGACTGGAAAATTGAAGCCAAGGAAGTCTGGCATAGAGGTATGTGGATGGACATATGGGAGTGGACACAGAGTGTTAAGATTTTTGTTTCACAAGTTAGCATCCACTAGAAGGCAGCCATCTTGGAAGGGATATTTAGCAATCAAGTAAACAAAATCACTTGGCCAGTGGAGATTGGCCAGGCTTTATTAGACCCTGAACTGGAATGATGGACACATGAATGAAGTAGCTATAGTGGCAGAGCTGGAAGTTATATATGGTCCAACACATGGACTTTTACTTTCCACGGCTGATCTAGCTATTGTAGCCTCTGAATGTCCATGCTGTCAGCCAGAGAGACCATCACCGAGCCCTTACCATGGCATTGTTCCTCAAGTAGACTATAATGGGCCTCTTCCATTCTGGAAGGACAAGTAGTTTGTCCTCTCAAGGAAAGAACCTAGTCCAGGTATGGGTCTGTCTTTACTACCTGCAGAGCCTCGGCCAGCACCACAATAAAGGACCTATACGGTGTTTGACTACTTTATGGTGATGAAGGTGCAAGAGTAGGCCCACGACCATGGGATCCCCTGGTCTTATCACCTACTACACTACCCTGCAGCCTCATACATACGGTCACTCGTGGAGTGCTAGAATGGTCTTCTAAAGGCACAGCTAAAGTACGAGCACTGAGGCAACATTTTGAAAGGATGGACAGAATACAGTGTGTTCATTAAACCAGGGAACTTTATGGTGGTATGTGCCCAATATGATAATAAGTGTCAAATGTGGTGGCAAAAGGAGTGCTTTCTGCTCTGCATCTCTGCCCTCTGTAAGCTTGAGAGTTCTTGGTTCCCAAAGGGGGCATACTCTCACCAGGGGCTACAGTGAGGGTTCCATCGAGCTACAAGAAATGATTGCCACTAGGGCACTTTGTACTCCTTGTGCCTAGGGGTGTGCAGGTGAGAAGATACCATATTCACAGAGTAACTGACCGCCATGAGCAGGGGGTTGGCTGCTTCTATACAATGGGACACAGGGAGATATGTATGGATCCCAGGTGATCCACTGGTGACTCCTGGTGCTGCTTTGCCCTATTATAGCTGCGAACCAGACACACATGGCAAACTTAGCATGATTACTAAGGGTTCAGTCCCTCAGGAATGAAAGTTTGTACTGCATCATCAGGTAAACCACCAGGAACTACTGAGGTGATTAGTGTGAGGCTAGACTTCCCATGGGTTGTTTCCAGCAGGACAATGAGCAGAGCATGTATACTTATGTGGGCCCAGTCTGTATGGAGGGAGACTCCCTCAAGAGGCAATTTTGGCATGGGGGTTCTTAGTCAGCCTGACTTTAAACTTTCTTAGAATTGTGTTGCAGTCTGAGATTCTTGCTACTCAACCCTCCTTCTTTCTTTCAAGGGGTCAGACATGCAACACAGTCTGAAGACTGCCTCCTCTGCTTCCTCTCTCTTTCGATCCTCACAGGTATTTCCCCAAATGGCTCCCTCGTAAATCTAATCCCGTTTCTGCATGTGTGTCTTGGAGGACCTGAAATATAATATATTTGGACTTTGTTCTGGCAGGTGGTTACTTGTAGATCGGCTCATACTACTGAGGCTTGTTTGTAAGCTTTTTTTTTTTTTTTGGCAAGTCTCTCGTGTGGATTTTACTGCTAGGCTAGTTTAGCCCTACTTATACTAGGTATAAACTTCCTGGGATCTCAGTGAACGTCTGTAGTTCTCAGGACTCTCCACTAGGGATGAATGGAAGTTAAATGTTTCCAGATCTCATGCTAGCTTGGGGACTTGCTGAGTTCAGCAATGGACACCAAGAAATCCATAGGCAGATTTCTGGAATGTTTTTTCTCTGCATACCTTCCTTTTCGCTGATTCTCTGCCCTGAAAATTCAAGCCATCTCAGTCTCTCCACTCCAATCTTTTTTGTCTCCTCAACTCAGCAAGACTGCTGGGCTCTGCTAATGCTCCTGCTCCAGCAATGTGATCCAAGGCTTGAACCTGAAAAGACATGGCAATTGTAGGGTCACCCTGGTTACCTCCCTGTGATCAGTCCTTTGCTGCCAGTTATCCAAGGTCTGAAAAGCTGCTTCAACACAACCTTCCCCCCCACCCCGCCCACCAGCTTCTTGGAACATTGGTAGCCAATCTTTATGTGAAAATTTTAATATACGTACTTAAATACGAGCTATAAATTTCCCGTAACATTTATTTGCCTTCACAGCATCCCACAAGTTTTGATATGTTGTATTTCCATTAGAATTCATCTCAAAATATTTTCTAAGTTCCACTGTGATTTAGTTTGACTCATGGATCATTAGGAGTATGTTCTTTAAATTACAAGCATTTGGTAAACTTTTTATCATTATGTAATTGACTTCTGGTTTAATTCATACTTTATTATTATTTCAATCTTTGGAAATTTGTTGAGACTTGATTTGTGATCAATCATATGGTGACTTTTGGTAAATGTTCTGGGTGAACCTTGAAAGAATATGTATTCTGAAATTTTTGGATATAAAGTTTTATATTGTCTTATTTGTATGTATAGTGCCAATACATAGCAAATAGTAGGTGCTCAACACACATGGAATGGAATAATTCAAAGGTATTATCCTACTAATGGCAATTCCAAACTAAACAAGAAAAAATGATGACATCACAAGTATATAAGCAAAGAAAAAACTATTTTTGGTAAGGCAGAGCCTCACAGAGGAATCTTGAGCCAAGGCATGCAGGTCTCCCCCTATTCCAACCGATACTGATGTCAACCCTTTATGTGACGGAAATTATCCTAATATTTGTCTTTACTGTGTTTCTAACAACTTTCCTCTCACTGGTTTTGAACTCCGTATTGCTAGTGCTATGTGACAGTAGAAAACAGTATCTTAGGAAAAACAATGACATTGATTTATAAAGCTCAGAGAAACACAATAAAAGGTTAACTTTATTTCTCTATTTTTTTCTCCAAACAATTCGTGATTGTTTTCTGGGATTACATGAGTTTAGAAGATATCTAATATCTCTATCCAATAGTCCAATTTTTCAAGTAGAATAATTTTTTTACTTTTCCAAGTTCTTGTGTCACTTTCTATTTCTTATAAACATCCTGAGGGGTTAAAACTGTTATTAATGTATACATTAATAATACATTTAACCTTCTAATACATTTAACCTTCCTATTGCCAACCTTGTTCTGGACACTGAAATTTTGATTATAGGAAGAAGGGAGGAAATAGATTTGGACAAGGCTAACGGCACATTCTGAGGCTTATAAGATGCCTCTCGTGCACTGTCTCACATCTCTTCAACCTCCGATTCCAGCCACAGCTCTGGGGAACAGTTCTGGGAAGGTTTCACCCTGCTCTGTGCTGACACTGCACAAACTTAAATTATAAAATACATAAGCCTTGGGGATGTAATAAGCATGTACCAGGAATCTAGCTTCCTGTCCTAAGGCTCCTCTGATGTGGCATTGTATGACACTCTGGTACTAGTGAGGCTCGCCTGCCTTTGCAACCCATAAGAATGAGGGAATCAACACCCCATTGGAGCATCCCTCAAAACGAAGGAGATGGCTGCTGAGAGAGAAATCCTTCTCCCTTTCACTCCCCTGGCAGACCAGTTCTGAAACAAAGTTTTGTAAGAATCCTTAGAAGGTTCTGCACTAAGAAGCCATTAACAGTGGTGGACACTTCATAACACTACCTTGTTTCGCTTGGATTTTCTTTTCCTTTTCCTCCTGTTCACTCCTCTCTCATTTCTCCTCGTTCCCTAGGATCACAATCTCAACTAGAATATGTCTACCTTTGTCTCAGAATCAGGATCAGGTTCTGCTTTCAAGAATAACCTAGATGAAGACTGTAGGTAAGTAGACTGTTGGTAGATTATATAATGAGGGAATATAATTTTCCTTGACAGCAGGTGTTACAAAGAAATTCTTATTTAGTTGGCAGCACAGTGTACGGTAATTTTGATTTTCCATCCTTTTCCTTTCTGAAAGTTCATCATCCATCCTGAAGCCTGACCACCTAAAGAAAAACAGTTGGTACAAATTAGCTTCTAATTGAATAGGCAAATATTTTTGTGATAGCTCTAAGTGGTTTCTCTTTGTGAGGGGGCCCTCAGCAATTTGGATACTCCACTCTAATACAGAAGAGCCCTCAGTCTACTTAATCAGGTGAAGATTTTTGTTGCTTTAGAAAACAACTATATCACATTTCTTTTTTTTCCAGATAAAAATCTGGAACTTTTAATGCTATAATCCTTTTCTGATAAGAAACTCAAACATACCTTAAAAATAGAATACTCTCAGTGCTTTCTTAGTCATGAAAAACTGAAGGAATACCCTGAAAGATATAGAGGTTATTAGGAATAAATTAAGGTTGTCCACATACCAGCTCTGAGAAAAATGTTAACGATTACAATTTTTTTACAAATTCAAGGTATTAAAGATATCGCAGAGAAAATCGGTAAATTCCCTTAATCACAATTTATATTGTAGTGATGTGAGACAATAAACAAATTTTAATAATTAAAATACATAGCATTTCAAATAAAAGCTGCAGATAACAACGAATGGGTGAAGGTGATCTAAAGGCACAAACTTAAGTTATAAAATACATAAGCCTTGGGGATGTAATGCACAGCATAGTGACTTAAGTTAACAATATCGTATATTTGAAAGTTGCAGAGAATAGATCTTTAAAGTTCTCATCACAAGTAAAACATTTTACAATTATGTGTGGTGATGGATATTAACTAAACTTATTGTGGTGATCATTTCACAGTATATACAAATATAGTATCACGTTTTACACCTGAAACTATATGTCAATTATATCTGAATAAAAAAACAGACTAGGGATGGGGGAAAGAATGTAGAAGTTTTTTGTTCTGTTTAACCTACAGATCTCACTGAGAAAATAACATTTGAACAAAGACCTGAGGAGAAGAAAAGAACCAGTCATATGGGTATTTAAGGAGCAGCATTCATGAAGATAAAAAAATAATCCTAAAAGCTCTGAGATGGAAAGAGGGCAGTGTGGTTTGAGAGAAGTGAGTATGGGAAGCTGAGGTTCGAAAGGGCCAGATCATGTGAGAGAGGGGTTCTCAGTGGATACAAGGCCACACTATGCACCTAAGGGATATTTTGAAAAACTGAAGACATTAGGTGGTAGTACGGAAGTTCAGTGGGTAGGTAATATTTATGTTTAAAATATAATAATGCTCAGGACAGCTCCATCCAACAAAGTATTTTTCCACATTATGTGCAACTTTAAAATGTCCTGCTGCTCATTCATATAGATGTAAAACTTCATATTCATGCTAACTTCTAAATTCTATTCACAGCAAGCTAGGTTATTGGGATAAGCTCTCTACTAAAACCAAATAGACATCTTGAATAAAACACATTTGATGAAATTTGGAAAGCTTTTGAAAATATTTTTTCAAATGATTTTCTGCCCCATACTCTATCTTTTTGCCTTCTGAGAGTCTGATTTCATGTATTTTGGATCACTTGATATTATCCCATGAGTCATGGTCGCTTTGTTTAAATTTCTTTTTCTCCATGTATATATATGTGGATGATTTCTAGTGACCTGTCTTCAAGTTTAATAATCCTTTCTATTATTGTGTCCAACCTACTGATAATCCCATCAAATAATTTCAGATATTGTATTTCTAGTTCTAGGATTTCCATTTTGTTCTTTAAAAAAAATCTGTATCTCTCTTGAAATTCCATATCCATCTATTATATTTTATCTTTAGTAAGATTCTTTAATATATTTGTCATGTTTATTTTAAAGTCTTGTCTACTAATTCCAACATCTATACTGATTTATGTTTCTACTGATTTATGACAAAGGTGACATCACAGAGCAGTGCAAAAGGACAGTCTTTTCAAAGAAAGGACCTGGGTCAATTGGATAGCTATGTGAAAAAAAATTTTAACCCCTACTTCACACCATACTGCAAAATCAATTCCCATGGTTAGTAGATCTAAGTGTTCAAAGAAAAACAGTATGCTTTTAGAGCATAACATAGGACAATGTCCTTGTAGGCAACGATTTCTTAAACAGAATAGCAACAACACTAACCATAAAAGAAAACTGATAAATTAGACTCTACTAAAAAATTTACATTCATTAAAATTTACCAATGAGAGTTAAAAAGCAAGCCACAGATTAAGAAACTGTTTTTTTGTAGCGCTCATAAATGAAAATGCACACACATGTAGAATATATAAATTAAGTAGAAAAAGACAAACCATCCAGTAGAAAAATGGGGTGAAGACCCAAAATGCACTTTACTAAAGAGAATTTTGAAAAGAATAATAATCACATGAAAAGATGGTCTTTTTCATTAGTCAGAGAAGCGTAAATTAAAAACACACAACCACCAAATGTTGAGGAGGGTGTGGAACAATGAAAACTCATTACACACTGCTGGTGGTGTGTAAATGTGAAAAACTGGAACCACCAACTATAGTTAATGGTAAGCAAAACCTATGACCCAGCTATTCTACTTTTAGGTATACAGCCCAATAGAAATATGTATCTCTATGTGATACATGTTTCTATAGATACATATAATATACAGATATACATAATAATGTTCACAGTAATATTATCTATAATAGCTCCAAACCTAGAAATACCATGGATATCTAATATCTGTGTAAGAGACCAATCACAAGAGACCTCATGTTATATAATTCCATTTTTATGAAATGTCCAGAATAGGCAAATACATTGACAGAAAGTAGATTAATGCTTGCTAAGGACTGAACAGGATAGGAGAATGATAGCTAAACAGGTATGGACTTGTTTTGAGGTGATGAAATGTTCTAAAATTGACTGTGGTGATGGTTGCACCTATCTGTGAATATACTAAAAAAAAAAAAGCCCATTAAATCGTACAATTTAAATGGACGAATTGTATGGTATGTGAATTATATCTCGAAAAAGCTGAAATTAATAAAAAACAGTATAAAGAAAAAATAAATTGTGGTATATTCATATAACTGAATGCCACACAGCATAAAATAAAATTTTTAAAAAGATAGGTTATGGGCAACAACACAGATAAATCTCAAATATAATAAAGCGTGAGAGAAACCAAATACTATAGAATGTTTACTAGTTCATTTCATATGAAATTCAAAAACATACAATACTAATCTATGTAATTGAGGATGAAAGTGGTTATATTTCAGAAGTTGGCCCTGACTGGGGAGGGGATGAAGGAATGGTCTATTTCTTGATCTGGGTTGCAAGGGTATGTTTGTGCTAGTCTTTTAAAGTTTATTAAACTCTATATTTATAGTTTGCTCACTTTTCCGTATTTTGTACTTCAATCCAAAGTTTATTAAGTAATATTTTTAAAAGTCTACTTATTCAGTTAGTTGTTTTATTAATATGCATTTTAAAAAACCGTCTAAAAGAATACATAAATATTTTGATAGTTATTTTTTGTGGGTTGGGATTATAGAGAATTTATATTTTCTTCTACATACTTTTCAGTATTTTCCAAATTACCATACTGGACATATAAAAAATGCTATAAAAATACAATTATCTACAATACCCCCATATTACTTTTATACTAATTTATTCACAACTTAAAGATTTTGGCTTTTGCTCCTAGATTGGAAGAGATTTCCAATTTAGAGTAAAGGAAGGTGTGGCTGTTGGTCTAGGGGTTTTCTGGTGGCTTGGCTGACTGCCAGCAACTTACTACCCGGCTACCCAGCCGGGAGGAGGAGCAAAAGTGCAGGTGTATGGACCCAAAAGATTGTGAACTAAGCCTGGGCAGGTGGGTCGTCCTAGTCCTCACGGAACCTGAGTCCTTCCTGCAAAACTGTAGCTGGACCTGGAACTGGTTGGGGGCAAGATGGAAGCTGCAGCCTCCGTAAGTATTCAGAATCTAATTATTGTAATCCTCATGTTTTTGTAAGGCCAGGAGCTAAGAGTTGTTTTTACATTTTTATGAGGTAGTTAAAAAAAGAAAAAGCCAAATATGCGAAAGAGACCCGTCCTGGCCTACAAATCCTAAAATATTTGCTATCTGGCTCCTTATAGAAAAAGTCTGCCAACTCTGACTAAGAGACTCAGAAATTTTAAGGCATTTAAAAGGTTACCTGGGAAAGCTCTTGCTGGCGAGAAGCCGGGTGTGCAATGAACCTGCCGGGGGCACTTTCTTCCGTGCTATCAGGAGATGTACTGCCCGGGCTCGTCAGACACAGGAAGTCGGAATCCACTAATGACAGCGTAGAACGCGCCTCCGCACCATCCAGCCGCGGAACGCACCGCCGAGCTCGGCGGCCGACGCACAACCGGCTCTTTCTGGCTGGGGGCTCCGAAAGGACGAGCGACGCTCGCCGCAGCCTTCGGCGGATCGCAAAGGAAGTTTCTGGGGTTCAATTGGGAAAGCATCGTTGTCGTTCCCGGAGAAGCCAAAACCCGGCCCGAGCAGTTGACTGCACTGTGCTCGAGGCAGCCGCGCTGCACTGAGCGGTCCACCACCCTCTGTGTAACTTTTGAAGTAGCGCCGTGTGGGTGCGGCTGGCCGCTCGGCGCATGCGCAGTGGCCTCTGCAGGATGCTTCCCACCGCGCAGGCTCCTCAGGTCACCCCCACCCTGGAGGGATGCGACCCTCCTTAGTCGCCAAAGCAGGAAGGAAGCGTGGGCGGAAGGACAAGCACCATATTTTCGCTGGACAATTTGAGAGTTAGTTGTGATCATCGTAACCCTTCACTCTTATGTATTATCAACATTTGATCTGCTCAGAAGACAACTTCATTTAATTCAGTCTAATATCCTAGTACCTATTCCCTGAGAATAAGGATTTTTTAAAATCGGAGTTTCTCCGTCAGGGCGCTAATGACATTTTGGGTAGGATGATTCTTTGTTGTAGGGGGAGGGGAACTGTCTTATGCATTGTACAATGTTTACTGGCACTCTTGGCCTCTACACACTAGATGCCACTAGAACCCTCCCCTCCCCCAGTTGTGACAACCAACAGTGTTTCCAAGTACTGCCAAATGTGTATGTGTGTGGGAGGGTGAGGCAAAATCGCCCCTGTTGAGGACTACTGTCCTGTAGGCTCACAAAACAATGTCCTTAGAAAATATATTGTTAGGCTTTTCAGACAGGAAGTTGTAATACACTAAACATTTTTACATTAGCATAATTTAATATGTAGTCTGTATTCTGATATCTTCAACTGGTTCCTTTTTCCTCTGCCCTCCTGCCCGCAAAAAACTTGCTTACTGTATTGTTATTTGTAAAATAAAAACCCTAGATTTAACAGGTATCACATGTTGCATTTACTAGTTATCAAGTCTCTTTAGTTTCCTTCAATTTAGTAAAATTCTCTAGTTTTTTTTTGTTTCTTTTTTCTGGCATTGATATTTTTAGTAGGTTCAGGCCAGTCGTTTTCCAGAATAGTTTTCAACTTGGATACTCAGATCGGTCCTCATAAGGTTCATGTTGAATATTTTTGTTTTTGGAGGGGGGGGCTGGAATTCCACCTGAGTGATGTTACATCTTGTTTTGTTCTTCTATTTTCAAAGGATTATTTAGCTGTTTTAAAAACATTTAATTTTTAAAAGTCCATTTTCCTCCGAGTAATTTGAGATACCACTGTTATCATATATTTAAATTTTCACATTGTGCTTGGGGCTCTTTCTGTATTTTCTATGTTTTCATTGATTTGATTGTCTACTAATATGCTAATATTATTCTGTTTTAATTACAGAAACTGTGAAATATATATTCTAATATTTGTTAGGTCTAGGCCCACCTCATTTCTGTTTTTTTCCCTGTTTCTTGCTGTTTTTTTTTTTTTTGCATGAACTCTAGACTATGGCTCTATAAAAATACTTAAAAAATTGACATGAATTTATAATTTTGCATTAATCTACTCGAGAACAAGGTCTATTTTCCTTTTTATTCAAGTCCCAATTTTGTGTCTTTCAGGAAAGTTTTTAAAATTTTTCTCATATAGGTTTTGCATATTTCTTGTTAAATTCGTTCCTAAGATATTTTTTATTTTCGTTGGTAATGTAAATGGGGTCATCTCTTCTACTTTTCCTTCTGTTGCTTGCTTAAATATACGATGGTATTGATTTCTATGTGTAATTTTATATCTTGCTACCATATTGAATCTCCTATTGCTTCTAGTTACCCATCGATTCTATTGGCATCTCTATTTACACTTTTATATATAATTACAGTGATTATTCATTTTAAAGCTCAAGTTGCACATCTTTGGTATTTATGTTCATTTGACAACCACAAATGTCTGGATAGCTTCCGTACTTTCGAACACTGTTAGCAGTCCCATTGTTATACTGGAACAGTCTCCTTTACTGCTTCATACAAAAAAATTAGCCATTTCTCAGAGGAGTCTTCATTACTTTCAGTGAAAATGGTATTTGGTGACCACAATCTGTGCACTGAGGATGTTCATATCTAAATGGGTTGTTGTTACTTCTCAATCATTTCAATATGAGATCTAGGAAATATGTAATTTTTCAAAGAAAGATAAAAATAAATCATAAATTTGTCCCTATATTCTAATTCTAATGAAAGATTATGGAAATTTTAACATTTGATTTTATATTGCATATCTTTTCTGCTGAAAAGCATGGTTCCTAATCATATAATTGCTTATTTACTTTTTCTGTAATAGTTTCAAAATAACAGTACCAATATTATAACTAATTGAAAAAGTGCTAAATGCAATTTCATACAGTGAGGTTTGTTTCAGGTTGTTTTCAAATCTAGATTGCTTAATTAAAAAAAATTAAATCCAAAGTGAAAAAATAAAGCAAGCCTTAAATATTTCTATCTTTTTGAGCATAATGTCTTATTTTTTATCTCTCATTTTTATTGGTGTAAATATTTAAATCTATGTATCTTATTCTGAACACTCTTTAGCAGTATCTCATAGATTCTGATGTCAGGTTTCATAATTTTTTCTCTAGAAATTCTCAGTATCAGTTGTATTTCCCTTTGAGCCAAACCATGTTTAATAGAAAACTTTAAAATTTTGAGGTGATAAAGCTTTTTTATGTTTTTATGTTTTGATTGTTATGGATTCCTACCTTTATCATACTGTTGATTGAGAATATTATTTTTATTTTTATTTATATAACTTATTGAGGTATACTTGTCTCTATGTAAATTATAAAATCAGTTATCAAATGTTTTTCATACAGTCTTTTTTTCATGGACTAGTAGATGTATACTAAAGTCTGTGAGGTATGTATATATTTCTATTTGAATCTCTTGTAGTTTCTGCTGCATGAAAGAAGCTACTGCTTTATTTCTTGCAAATTTTTCATAAATTTTTTATATTCTGTGTATTGTAACTTTAGGATTATAAGGTGCTCTTTGTCTTGGTAATGGCTTTGGTCTGAATTTTACTTAATTGGATTTAAAAATCTCAGTTCTTTATTTTTATTTGCATTTTCTTGATATACCTTTGTCCATCTTTTCATTGTTAGCATTTCTGAATTATTTTGTTTTAGGTGTGTCTTTGTCTTTTACATGCAACATAGAGTTGGGTTTTGTTTTGTCCTTCTAATAGTGACGTTTAAATCCTCTATTGGGTGATGCGTTTGGTCTCAGATATCTCACCTCATATTTGTATATGTAATATCTAGTATATTTGATGATGATAAGTGCTATTGAGGAAAATAAGGAGAAAAGGAGGATAGGAAATGCTGGGCAGAATATTCCATTTAAATAGGTGGTCAGAGAAGTCCTCACTGAGAAGATGACTTTTTCACATACTCTTGAAGTAGATTGCAGGAATGAGCTATTCGGATAAGTGAGGTAAGACTTATCCTGAGGGAGAGAACAGCCAAAAGAAAGGCCCTAATGCACAAGGCTACCTCTGTGTTTTCAAAGAACAGCAAGGAGGCTGGTGTGATTAGAGTAGAGTATATAGGAAAATAGTTGGAAATTGGCCAGAAGAAACAGATCAGTAGGATCAGATTGGGCTCTGTCAGTCTTAGGGAGGGAACAAGACAACCTCTTCAAGAGGAATTTTGGTGACAGATATTGAAATAATATTACTTCTGCCATCCCACAGTCATCAATTAATAACTCTATGAGAATACATTAATAACTCTGGGAATTCCAGCCTAGGTAGGAGAGGAAGCTAGGCTTATGGGTATCATATTTTGGGGTGCAACTTAAATTATGCATGAAAGTAGTTTCATTTCTGCTGATTTTGGGGTTATATTACTAAATACATTCCCAATGCAGTAGAAGTGGTTCTTGAATATATTCTTCAAATGTCTACTTTCTGTTCTACCCCAAACACATAAGATATAGATTCACAGGTTTTCACTATTTATCTGAAGGTGTGTATTTACAGGGAAACATACCTTTGAAATGGAATGTTCAAAAAACATAGAAACATTAAAATTCTATATTAGGAAGCTTGACTAAAGGCCAAAACACGACATAGAAGTTTTTTAAATTCTTTTTTAAAGTCAAGTATTTGGCTTAAAAAACAAAAAACATAGAAACATTAAAATTCTATATTAGGAAGCTTGACTAAAGGCCAAAACACGACATAGAAGTTTTTTAAATTCTTTTTTAAAGTCAAGTATTTGGCTTAAATTTTTTTTTTTTTTTTTTTTTAATCTGTTGTTTTAATAGAAAACTATATGGCAGAGAAGGTACAATGAAATGGGAGTCTTCATGTGGTGCAGGAAAGGAGTAAATTAAGTCTGTAATCAATAAAAATAATGTTCAGGATTCAAGTGGATGGAAACAGAGAAGGGACAAACTTTACATTTATGCACAATTACTTCTTTGACTTGATGTGTTTCATTTGGCAGAATTTTAATTTTCTCTTTCACCTTTTTATTCTTAAGCTAAACTGGCACAGTGAAATGCTGTGTGAATAAGTCACAACTCATATAGAAAACTGGACAGTGCATTTTAAAATAGGACACAAAACAAAATACTTCATCTAAGAGCTGAGATCATCGCAGCAGCGCACACAGACCCAGCACAGCAATTCAACAGTGTTTCTCAGAGCCTGGGACAGTCTCCACAATTCTTGATATGCTATCGCCCCCTGCTGGCCATATGGAAGCACTGACTACAAAAATGGGTTGTCAACATTCCACGTTTTAGTGCAATGCTGTCAGCGTATCATCAGAGAAGTTAGACGAAGTAGTACAAAGATTTAAAATAGAATAATTTAAAGAATTGCCTTCTAAAAAGCTGAATGTAAAAGAAACCACAAAGTAGCTTTTCCTACTCGTCGATATGTTGAACAGAAAGCTATGATTCAGTTATTTGGCTAAAGAATCTAGTTTCCTTTTTAAGTTTCTGAGGGGAGCAGAATACAAGGCAATTGAGGTAACTTAGAGAAAAACTGGTAAAGTGAGAGCGGGAAGTAGACAGAGAAAACCGAGGGCATAATGTGAAAAAGGAGCGGGGTAATAAATAATTTACATACAATGAGGGTAAAGCAGTTCAATTCTGAACAGATCATTTGCATTCCGTGAAGCCCGGATGGGTCATTTGTAAGCCTTTAGGTTTCTGCCTTTTATTGGGTTTGGTCATGAAAACTTCTCAAAATCATTAGAATGTAGGTTGAGGCCTGTGAAGCAGAGCACATAATCCTTGGAGTTTACTCTGAAGTTTCTAAAGAGGTCAGGACTATCTCCTGGACGGAAGTCAGCCCAAGTACAAATGTGGGTTTTAGCATGGGAGTTTAATGTTAATGGTTCCAGGTTACAGATCTCTAGTGCTCATGGGCTGCTAGTTCCCGCATGCCATAGCTTCTGGTGGGATTAGGTTATAAGGCGCCTGGAAACCCTCTTACTCAGTAAAAGCAATTTAGGAGCTTGGGGCCTTACTTCGCATTTGGTCTTTGCTCAGACTCTTTGTCCACGAAGAAAGTGATTAAAAAGAAGAACCTTTTAATATTTAGAAAATTATATGCATATTTACATACAAAACTACATCCTATTATGATAAAATTAGAAATCCAGCCTGAGCTATTCGAAAGACTTAGTTTGTGATTTTCTTTGTAAATTGTCTTGTAAGATTTAGTTTTTGACACTGAGTGTCACTCCTAAAACCCCTGAAGTCCCTACTTCAAAGGCACAAATGATGGATTTTAAGAAGTAAAAATCTGAGAAGACATTTACATGATTTATTTCAGGTAACAATGAACAAG